CTGTTAAGGATACAATGATCCTTCTAGTGACCCGGATTAACAACCTCCTTTGACTCCTCATTCTCCTTCACCCCACATATCCAGCTAATTGACAAATCTTATCATCTTTGTTTCCATAGTTCATTCATTTTCGTTCTCATCCTCTCTCTCCCCTCTCCCTTCTCTCCTCTCCCCTCTCCCCCCTCTCCTCTCCCCTCTCCCCCCTCTCCCTCCTCCCTTCCCCCCCCTCCTTTCTTTTTTCCCTTCTCTCCCTCACCCCTCTCCCTCCTTCCACTTTAGATCAGGCTCTCATCACATCTCACCTGAATTATTGCAACAACTTCCTATTATTTAGTCTCCCCTGCATCAAGTTTGTCCCCTCCCCAGTACATCCTTCACACAGCTTATAGATTAAGTGATTGTCCTAATGCACAGGGCTGACCATTTCACTCCCCTGCTCACCAAACCTTCCTTCCCTCTAGGAAAAAAATACAAACTCTGGTTTGGCATTTAAAGCCTTTCACAACCTGGTATATTCCAATATATTTCTCTAGCTTTATGATAAATTACACACTTACACAAACTCTACCATACAGTTAAGCTCACCTTCCTGCTGTTACTCACACACAACACTCCATCTCCCATCCTGTCACCAATGTCTGGAATACACTGTTTCCTTACCTCTGCCTCTTGGAATTTCTGGTTAGGTATTAGTGCCTCCTCAAAAGAATAGTTTTGGATTTCTTTTGCATATACTTACATGTGTAGATAAGACCATAGGATCATTGGTACATTCTTTGTATCTGTATCCTGAGCAACAGTGTCAAGGCAGATACTGGGAACTTAATAGATGCTGACTGACTGATACAGGGCATCAAAACAGTAAGCTTAGAAAAGGAACGTAATTTGTTTGGCATCATATAGGGAGAGAATTTGGAACTCAAAATTTTTTAAAATGATTGTTAAAAATTTTTACATGTAATTAGGAAACATTTAATGAAATAAATAAAACAATTAAATTGTTAAAAAGCAAAAAAAAAGAAAGATGCAAGGCGTGTTTTAAAGGTAAAGTCAACAAGACTTGATGAGGCAGACAGAAGGAAGTCAAAGTTGACATCAGATTGCAAATCTGGATTTCAAGAAAGATTGTAGTTTCCTCAATAATTATAAGGATGGTTTGATTTTGGAGAGACTGAAGGACAACAAGATCAGTTATGTATTAATTTGAGACATCAACAGGACATCTAAGAGGAAATACCTAGGAGCAAGTAGCTGATGGTATGGAAGTTCAATCTCTCAATAGAGATTGGGGTTGGATGTACAGATTTGGGAGTCATTCAGTAGAGATAATAATTGATCCCATGTGATCTGCTCAGATCCAGAAGAGAGAGCATAAAATAAAAGAGAAGAGGGTTCAGGACAGAACCTTCTCTATGATTTAATAAATAAATCCTAAGGAACTGTGTGAGGCATACAGTGATCAAATGACTTACTTGCACAGGGTCCCAAACGTATTAAGTGTCAGAGACAGAATCTGAGTCTATGTCTTCTTGACTACTGTCACATAACTCAATTAACAAGTCTTTATTGAGTGCCTACTATGTGCTATACACGGTGGATACAAAAAATGAAAAAAATCTCTACTCTCAAGGAGCTTACATTTCTAATGGAGAGACAAGTACATATATTAGTACATACAAAATAAATATAAATAAATGAAAAGCACTCAAATACGTTATTGTTTGAGATGGAGGACGCTACCAATTGGGGAGATCAGGAAAAGCAGCATGTATAAGGTGAGTTGTGTTTTGAAAGCAGAGGGGGATTCTATGAGGCCAAGGTGAAGAACAAGGTCATTCCATGGCCCTGGGCATGTCCATTGCAAAGGCACAGAAAAAGGAGATTGAATATTGTGTTTAAGAAAGAAAGTCAGTTTGCCTAGATCACAGTGTGGGAGAGAGAGAGTAATGTACAATAAGGCTGGAAATATAGGTTGGGGACAGGATGAGGAGGACCTTAAAAGTTAAAGAGAAGTGTTGCTATCTGAGGCAATAGAAAGCCAGTGGAGTTTGATTTGGGGAGTGGTATCATGAGATCTTTGTTTCTGGTAGCTTTCCAGAGGACAGACTAAAGCAGAGAGAGACTTGAGACAGGGGAGCAATTCAGAGGCCTTTGCAGTAATGCAGATGAGAAGTGATAAGGTTCTGAACCAAGGTGGCAGCTATGTGCATTGAGAGAAGAGCTCAACATGAGATTGTTGTAGAAGGAGAAACGGAAAGGTTTGGCAACTAATTGAATATGTGAGATGAACAAGAGTAATGGGGTGAGGATGATGCTGCTTATAAACATGAAAGACTATAAAGAATAGAAATAGGGAAGTTTGGAAGAGGGGTCGATTGAAGAAGGGGAGAGAGATAATGAATTCTGTCTTGGATATGTTGATTTGAGATGAAAGTTTTAAAATGGAACAGAAAAATGACATGACTATATTCACGTGAAACATCTATTCATTAAGATTCTTGGGTACTATAGAAAATAACAATTTCAAATGGGATCCTAGAGCCAGAATATCTGATATCAGAGAAAATTTGATATCATATGATATATGCATATGAGCCAATGCGATATTGGTGTCTCGGGCCAACGTCCATATATTTGTTTGTTTGTTTGTTTCAAGAATCTGTATTTATATTAGTCTGGGTACTGTCTAGCACTGACTAAGACTGTGAGCCCCTATAACAATGACAACAATGGCTAACATTTATATAGAACTTTAAGGTTTGCAAAGCACATATTACACATAAGCAAAGCATTTGTTATAACTCTGTGAGGCAGGTGCTGTTATCCCTATTTTACAGACATGAAAGCTAAGGAGAGGAATAGAGAATAACTTTTCATACCCTCAGACTGTTAATTGGTGGTATATCTGTAATTGTTCTAAGTGTATCAGCTCCTGAAATCATGTACCACTCAGTGACATTCTTTCACCATTTGACTTTGTGTTTGCATGCACATATGTTATACATACATATATATATATATAAATATAAAACTCTGCTTAAGATTTTTTAAAAGACACTTGATGTTTTTCTTTTCTGTCACCTGTATATTATTTTAGGCCAAAACAGGAGCCAGTCCATCAGTGTGGTTACAGGTTATATCTAGTTTGGAAATATGTAAATATCTCAGTCTCTATAAAGATATAGTTTATTAAGTCAGAGAATAGGATGCTTGAAATGACCCCTTTGTTATCTGTGGTTCAAGTTGGATTGTTTTTGGCTTTTCTAAACGATCATTTTCTCATTCCCTTGGGTCAGGGAAATCAAAATGTGCTTCTGATCCTTTACTCATTTGTTCAGTGTTTTCGAATATTTTATTATTCACTTTGAATGTTAATCTGTAACTAGTGTTTCAAAGTTGTTCACTCTCGATTAGCCAGGCATATCACATAGTGAGTGGATCCTTGCAAGGAAAAGCGGTAGCATCATTATGTTCTGATCAATATGCTCTGATCATTGCATTCAGTTGTAGAATAATACAATCTAAGTTTCAGCACAAAGGATTTGTAAACTGTTTTACTCCTTAGTATTCAAAAATTTACATGTTTATGAAATATATCGCAGTTCAAGGTTGAGTACCTTAGGTCTATTATTTATTATGTTACCTCTATTTTGTTATGGTTTTAAGGAATTGATTGTTTTTAAAGTTAACCACACCTATGGTTCATTCTTGAAACTCTGAGGCAAATCTTAGAATCTAACAGATTAGTTTTTCAAATTAATTTAATTTACTCTTAAATGCCCATTTGATTTTTTAAAATTCCTAAAATATTCCCTAAGGTTTTTGATGTTTCCACATTTATCCTCTACCATGTGATTTCAGAACAAACACTCATGAGAATGGGGGCAAAGTTATTTAGTACATTGTTTAGAAGCATATTTATAAGATGCTTTAACATATGAAAGAACATTTCACATTGGGAAAAATTCAATAGGCTTCATCTCCATGAAGCATCCCCAGGTTAACCCCAACTGCCTCAGATATTCTCTCATAGCTTTTCATTTGTTTCTCTTCTCTGCCTATTAGATTCTAAGCTCCTAAAGGGCAAGGGACTATGCTTTCTATTGCCTTTATAATTCCACACACTGCCTTCCTAATGCCATATTCTTCACAATAGGCATTTATACAGAATTTTAGGAAACTTAAGATACTACATGAGTTGTTAGCATTACATGTCACTGGCAGACTTTTAAAATAAAAGTATCAACAAAAAATGAAATTTTCCCTTAAATGTAGAGAAAGGGAAGATGGTATGTTTAAAAAACTGAAAACATGGTTTGGATATGATTAGCCTCAGCTTTCAGCTTCATTTTTTATATCAATCAATAAACATTTATTATGCTCCTACTATGTGCCAGGCATTCTGCTAAGTGCTAGGGATACAAAAAAGAGGCAAAAGATAGTCCCTGTCCTCAAAGAGTTTATAATCTAATGACATATATAATTATATGATATATATGTTATATATTACATTATTATATAATCTAATGGATTGTACAATCTAATGGCATATAGTATTATCAGTTATCTAGATAATTCAAGTGAAAGGAAACTACTCTCTCTTCAGTCATCAGATGAAATTATTTTTGGACCAGAATTATACAAGTAACTGCCTCCTTGTTCCCTTGACTCACTTTGCATTTCTGTATATCAGTTCAATGTCCCTGGTTTCCAAAATGCTCTCAGATTTCATCCTGTCACCTCAGGTCGTGAAGCAAAATTTGCAAAGCATTCTTAACCTTAATTGTAACACATTTTAATTTTCTAAAGTGAACACTCTTGGCGGTCAGATTGAGGTATCTGATTTGCAAAAATGTTAAGAATCAATGATTTGGTTTTATGCTAGTTATATATTTGCCTATAACTATACTTTTTTTTAAAAAAATCAACAACATTCTCTTCAGTAGAGTTTCTTCTAAGTGTAGATAATGATACGTCTGGTTTTTTTTTTTTTTTTCCAGCTGCAGAAATAACTGTCCAACCAACTCTTGAAGAAGCCTCTGACAACTGTACCCAAGAATGCCTTATCCTTGGTCATTCTGATTCCTGCTGGATGCCTGCTGCGCTGCCTCCGTGTCAGCAACCTCGTTCTGCAGAGCCTGTGGTGACCCGCCACAGTTCTCCTGCTCCACATCTGATCACAACCACAGCAATGTGCCATAACCCTCCTGAGCCCCAGCCTGCTGCTATCTGCACCACTCCACCCCGGTCTCTGAACCAAGAACTGGGACCTGGTGCTAGGGCTGAAGCAAGGGGTGCTCAAGGAAGGGTTGTTGCTCAGGATGACTCTCATCAGGTCCGAAGATGCAGTCCCAGGGCCCTGTTTTGCACAGCTGCACATGACGACTCAATCAAAGTTATTCCCATGACGACCTTCACACCTGGCCAATCTTCACGGGGCTATCCCAATATTGAAGACGATCCCATGTAAGGCCCATCGGCCAAGCCAGCTATTTACAACCTTCAGGAGAATGTGTATATCATCAAAGCAACTGAACTACGTGCATATTAAAAACTGCTCCACCTGTATATATGTAAATAGAAACTAAAACCGAACTAAAACTGGACTCAATTTCAAGAGCTAGAGCTAGATCCCTAGAGTTTCATCCTAAGAAAAGTTTGACTAAAGTTTGTATCAAATATGGAGAAACAAAAATCCAGAAATAATATTTTACAGTAGGAAAAGGGCTATTGTGACAGATGAAAGCTTTGTGGTTTTTGCCATTTCTGAATATTTTATCCAAATTTCTGCCTTGGTGTGTAAATTATACCAACTGATTCACATGCTGTTCAAAATCAACATAGACGGTGCCACAAAGTCTCTGGTAACGCACCCCTGCTTGGTGGATACTCAATGTTAGAATGCGCTGCACTGTGCCCAAAGAGACTACTGGATTTCCAAGGGGACTTTTTTCTTTTCAGATTGACCTTCCTAGTTTAATGTAAGCTATATCAAGAAGCATTGCATCTGTCATTGTTTAGCCATTTTTCCGTTACTAATCAGGTTTTTCTTTCCCAAGTTCATATTAGTTAATGTCCCTGGAAATTGAACACAAGAGGACTTAAAACACAAGGAAGCAGAATAGATTTGTGGCTGTAAACTACTGTCGCCTAGAGAATATGCTGGTGATTTAAATGTTAATTTTACAGCACTATAGGCACTTATGGAAAGATTTTCCATAAAGGATTCAATATAACTATAGATAACCACACACTAAGCCCATTAGACTAAGGGATTTTTGTCATTCTAGCTCAACTTATTGAAGAAAATAACTGACATTATATAGACAAAAAGCAGGAAGCAAACGTTAGAGAGATATAATTATAAATATACATCAAATATATTCTTGTACAGAATTTCTAAGTGATGTGCTGGAGGAGATTAGGAGTTGCTGACTGCTTCTTATGGTGAATAAGAAACACTTGCTTCACCATAAAAGAAAAACCAAGAAATCCCAGACAGGAATCAAAAGATATCCTTCTGTGGTAAAAAGGAATACACTTGTGTTCCTAAGGAAATTATTTCCTTCCGTTGTCTGTTGGTTTTGTTTTTTTTTTTTCCCTTTTTAACCAGTCATTATCTTCTATGTGTACATTTCACCAAGTCACAGAAACTCCACTCCAAGTTGATTTCTCACAGCAAAACCCGGGTAACTTGTCTAGTTTCAATGTTACTATACCAAGAGACAATCTGTGTTTTAGGGGAAGTAAAACATCCCCAAACACAAGAAACAAAGAAACAAACAAAGAAATAAGCAAACAAACAAACCAAAAAAAAAAAAAAAAAAAACCCAAAAACAAAAAAAAAAAAAAAAAACAAAAACAAAAAAAAGTGTAACTTTCTTGTGGATAAAATTAGATATAGGCTCCATAATGTGTAACTTAAATTTACAATTTATGAGTAAAATGTGTGTGTAAAATGTTATAATATAAGCTTCTAGGAAACAAAAAACAAAAAACAAAACAAAAAAAAACAAAAAAACAAAAACAAAAAACAAATGTTCCAATTGGTGAGGATTTCACTGGATGTTGAGACATCGTCTCTCATGTGCCCAGCAGGTATAAGTAGCTTTGTAACTGTATATTTAATTTCATTGATTTCAGACTATTGAAATCATGTTTGATTTTAGTTTGTAGAAGAGCTTCACTTTTAAACTCAGAACTTAATTAACCAAGTTGCAAAACAGCAGATAGCAGGTGTTTTCTTTTTTTCTTCTTTATATTTTTCAGTACTATTTAGAGAGATTTGTGGTACACTGGTTTCCAGTCCCATGCGAATCCTGAAAAAGCAATGTGAATCCTTTGGAGACTGACACACAGTAGCTGTAACTTTACATTCTTCAGATACAATGGAATGGCCAATTGGACTGAGAGAGATAGACTACAGCTACCTATAGCTATTAACATCTATTTCCTTAATGAACAAAAGATACAGCAAACAAAACAAAATCACTTCCCAGGAGTTTCTGAGTTTGGGCTACATGTTTGGAAGCTTATTCAAAAATCATGAATATATATCATGCATAGTATTAAAAACCAATAGAATAGAAATCTAGAATTACAAAATTCCCATGACATTTCCAAATCTTTTTTATCTCAAAATGCCCAGTGTTTGATAAATATTATTTAAGGAGTAAATAAGCAAAGAACATGAACTAGAATGTTGTCACTATTGTGCATGTCTTTAATAAATCCCAATGATGGCTGGAAATAACGAAATGCCAAACAGCTGGTTCTCTGTCATGGATAGATACTGCCAAATTTCCAGTGACCTCATCATGACAAGTACTTTCCCTTCTAAGCTTATAAAACATAGTAAATTGCATGTTAGCCAGAGGCATAAATTTAACTTGGCATATCATGACTTTTAAGGGATGTTGAGAACTTAGCACTCAGAGAACCATGAAAATAATTGAAATGATGGAAAAAATAAGACCTAACTGGACACTGAAAAGAATTAGGACTAAAAGACAATTATAAAATAACACATCAGAGATATGGACAATTGCCCCACATCAACAAAGAACAGAATAAAATGAAATCATCTTTAACTTAAGCAAAAGGTATGTGTCATATATATGCATACAAACGTCTATGTCTGTGTGTATGTATCTATGAAAACCTGACAAGTAGAGTTATTTCACATGTAATCAAGATAAGCTATTTAATCTCCATCCCTGAAGCTTTACAAATTTGGATACTCACCCTTCTACAGGTATGGGGATGGGCTACATGAACTCTGAAGGTCATTGACAGCTCTCAGATCCTATGGATAGATTTAGGGATTAGAGAAAGGGTTCATTTTTGTTTGTTTTAGAGAGGTTTTGACCTGTGATTTCATCAGTGGGCTAACTGCGTAATGCAGATCCTACACTCTCTGTAACAGATTTGCAGTTGTCTGGAGCACCGAGAAGCTAATTTGCCCAGAGTCATAGCTGGTACACATCAGTTGCAAGACTTGACCCTGAGTTCTCCTGACTGCAGAACTTGCTCCCCCCTGTACCCTAGTTCCCAATACTTGTCTAGATTATTTAGTATATGTCAATAACTAGGCACCCCAGCCCTGCTATTGGAACAGGGTATTGTTGAAGCTGGAATCAGACCAGCTTTGACCAAAGGCAGATGTGTGAGTTCAGGTATTCTATCCGATGTGTTCTGGGACCAGGTTTCTACTCGATCAGGAGTATTTGACTTGGATATTTAAGGACTTCATTCCCAGTGAGAACTTTCTAATATGCCATCAATTATTTCCTAAAACAAATAGAGGCACAGATTAGGAGGGCCATCCATGGGAATTTATCAATATGAGAATAATTAAACCCTGGCACTCACTTTACCAAGAAATATAATGGTTCCCACTGGGGGAGTGGTAGAGGAAGAACTATTTCTTTTAAAAAAAAACCCTCAAATACTGATATATCTTTAAGTTTTATCTGCAAATTGACCCACCAAAAGAAGAACTATGCATGATAGGTCTTTTTAGAGTAAGCTACTGACGATGTTTAACATTCATCTGAAATAAATTTAGTTATATGGTGATTATATATTTATTCCTACAATAATACACAGAAAATGGGGAACATTTGTAAGACTGCCTATCCACTAGACATCCTATACCAAGAACGTATACATCCTTTAAACATTTGTTTGTAATTTCAGCAAATGCTGTGTCAGTGTCTTAAGAACTAATACCAGTATACTTCTACATGATATATATCTATTATCTAAGATCTAGAAGCAATTTAGTGCACAAAGTGTGCATTTTTGTGTAATCTTATTTAGTCACTTGACATTCTACTTTTAATTATGTGAATTTATGGAGCTAAAACAATTATATCTATGTTATAATGGTAGCTAAATGATTAACTTTGTTATTGTGTATAATGGTAACAATTAAAAGCAAAAACCTTGCCTTCATAAACAAACATTTATCACACTATATTTAACATGGTAAAAGAGACATGCGAAATTCACCAATTTGCATTTCTAAATTAATCTTACAAAGAAAACCTTACTTTTGAAGAAATTGATTGGTTTCAACTCATGCAGATTTCAACCTAAGTTTTTTTTTTTTAAGTTAAGGATATATACATGTATATTTTAGCCACATATACATATATACCATACCACTCATATTTTTTCTTTAAATTTATTCAAGTTTAACCTGACTTATACTTTCAAGTAAAGATGTCATTTTGCAACTTATATTTTTTTTTTACTCTTTTCTTACATAATAAAAATTATTTTGAAATTTTCATCAGGATGCTTCTAGGTCCATCACTAATTCTTTTTAGGAAAAAAGAAATGCATTTCTATTTCAAGCTAGCACAAGTGGTCCAGAAAACATGGAAGTAAGAGTAGTACAAAACCTGGACAGAAATGCTAATTACATTACGTGCCAATGACCATATCAGAGGAATTTGGTATGACAGTCTCAAAAAAGGTTTCTCATTTACAATAGTTTTTGAATACCGACCATCAATTGATTCAGAGTAAGTATAATATTAAAACAAAATCTGACAACCAACACTTACCAGCACAAACAGTATCAAAGTGGCTGGTGTTAAGTATATGTGTGCAAAAGTAGATGTTAAACAACGATTTGAAGGCAAAGCATTTACATGGTAACTTACAAAAATGTTGTGTGTGTGAATTGTTATACATAAGTATATTTGAAAAACTTTTAAAATATATATTTATGCTTGTATTTTGGGCAGATTTTTTGTGATATCTTACAGGATCTGAAAATGAAGCCGGAAGGAATTGAGGTGGATACTGTATGGCCTAGGCCAGCAGCGTAGACTCCCCAAGTAACTCTGTAGTGGTGGTTCTATTTCAGGTTCTGTGTAGCATGATGTCTTATGATTAATATAATTATTAATAAACTCATCTCATAAAATAAAAACCTCACATCTTTGGTTGGTTGTTTTTCAAGTCAAATTGAAAGATTTTACTTTAATCAATGAAATATTATTAAATGACTGTGCAAACAAGCTTCCTATGTCTTTTTCCCCTTTGGGCGAGTCCTCTACCTAAACACTGACTTGACCTACACTTAAAACAATTTTGAAAATTTATATTTTATCACATTAAATAACATTGGCCAGCTTTGACACGATCCCACTGTCTTAAACCTAGTAATTGTTTTAGTAAATTTAGGAAATTCATTTAAAAAATCCAAGTTAATTGACCCTTCATGCCAGTCACTTAAGTATGCATACATCAAATCTTCTCTAAATCTCATCCTCAAAATATAACAAGCCCCCTGCATGTGTGGTCTGCTAATACTACCATTAATTCTCAATGTAGAAAACAAGGGAAAAAAATTCAGAAAGCAATAATACACTCCTCAGGACTGTAACATTGAAACACTTAGAATACAGTCCAGTTAAATTTTATGAACTTAGGAACAAAGAAATACAGAGGATGATGTTTGGCTAGAATCTTTTTATAAATCTAATTCCTGGGGGGAACGCTGTTTCTATACTTGACTCATGTTCTCGTCCAAGGGTAACAGTAAAATACTATCGATACCCGTTACTCTAGTACTCTCAAACAAGAACCCATTCAGGCCTTCTAAGTTACTGTGATTCTTATCCAACCCCTTCTATATGTAGCACCCCCTCTGAGCCTCCTCCTACAACCTGTACTAGCTAGCACCTCAGGGTTAAATCCTGAGAAAGGTGGCCAGATTGTTTAGCTCTAGGAGGAAGGGAAGAGAAACCTGAGATTTCTGGTTTTCATTCTCCCATACTTAATCACTTTTTCAGATGGCTGCTCCACTGTTTTCTTTCTACCTTGTATTTTAATTTTCCTCTTCCTCATTCAGTGCCATGCATGTCAGGCTTTTTGCATTTCCAAAGTAAGAAACGTTAAATAACTTAACCCAATGGTTAAATAATTTAACCATTTCCAACGGTTATTTAAGTAGTGGAAGTTACTGAAAGGCATCAAAGACACAACTCCCCAAGTATTACCAGAACCAGATTAAACGTAATTGAGAAATATTTAACGCAATAAAA